AGCAAGATATTACTGGAATTAAAAAAAAAACTGTGGTAGTAGTAGTAGTAGATTCCGTGCAGAATCTGGAATTGTGCTCGGCATATGGCAATAGGCTCGCCCCCTATTACACGGGACTCATAACATAAATAGTGAAAAGTGGTTGTTACATTGTACAGTGGCATTAAACTGTCAAACACCAAGCGGTCACCGGTGACCGCAACCTATTGTTCTATAATTGTGTCTATAATGACGGTACTCAACGAGTTAAGTGCTGTAATGTGCACCTCTGCCGACCCCTTCGGGGATAAAAGGCGTGATGGTATATGTTATAAATATATTCGTAAAATGTTTATAATTAATTACTTAATTGAACTTTATTCATGCATAGTTTAATAACATCGTGATCTTAGTAATTGCTACTGAACCTAATAATTCTAAACGTTTAATCTTAAATCAAAAGTGATCGATGGCTTTTTATAATAAATTATGACTTATTATTTTAAAACTGCCTCGTTGGCCGGGTGGTCGCAAGTGCGACTGCCTAGCAAGGGGTCTCGGGTTCGATTCCCGGGTCGGGCAAAGTATTACTGGGGTTTTAAAAAATTCTAAGTAGTAGCACGGAGTCTGGAATTGTGTCCGGTATATGGCAATAGGCTCACCCCCTATTACATGGGACTCGTAACATAAATAGTGAAAAGTAGGTGTTACATTGTACAGTGGCATAATATGCACCTCTGCCTACCCCTTCGGGATAAAAGGCGTCATGTTATGATGATGATTATTTTAGAAATTTAGTGTAATATGGCTATTGAAAAATAAATGGAGTAATTTTCGTAGATAATACCTAACCTACTTAATTTTACAAAACATTTACATCTAATATTTCACGAAAAGGTAATAAGGAATAAGTTAAGCAGATACGCAAAATTTCATGTAGTAGGTATTTCACTGACGCTTATTCCAGGCGTTAAGCACCATTCTAGTATTTACGCTTTTACTAAGAATCTTATTTATGAAAGCCTTTTCATTATCAACAATCAAAATACGATCACAACCGCAAGAGCACTTTCTTCTCAAGATGGTATCCTTACTTAATATTATAAATCGGAAAGTGAGTTTGTTTGTTTGTTTGTTCCGCTTTCACGCCGTAACTGCTAAACCGATTGCTTTGATTTTTTGCAGATGTATATTTAGAAGTCCGGATTAAATAATAGGGTACTTTTTATCCCGGAAAAATTTGATATTCCCGAGGGAAAACAAAAGTATTGGTATAGATGGCGCTGTGTGTATTGGTATATGTCACATTGGCTTTTTATCCTTTTGTGACGCGAGCGAAGCTGCGGGTAAAAGCTAGTTATCTATAAACCCCTTCATAATTCCTTTTTCGCCCTCCTCAAGAATATCTGTTATGTAATAGAATAAAAAACTAGCTGTTGCCAGCGACTTCGTCCACGTACAATATGATTTCTGATCTATCTCATAGGATAGGAGCATTTAACCTATCTATATAAATAAAAATGAATTGCCGTTCGTTAGTCCCGCTAAAACTCTATGACGACTGAACCGATTTGGCTAATTTTGGTCTTGAAATGTTCGTGTAAGTCTAGGGAAGGTTTAAAAGGTGAGAAAAAACAATTCGGCTGTACGAAGCTTGCCGGGGCAGCTAGTTAGGATATAAAGTTAAAAATCCATTCAGTAGTTACAGCGTGGTTGACGGACAAACATTCAAACACAGATACTTTCACATTTGCATAATAATAGTATGATTGTAAAAGTTTCGATATAATACAGCTATCAAACCTTACAGACTCAAATATCAAAGTGGCCATTCGACCAGCAGTGCAGTGGGCATTAATCATAATATTTTTTTATGGCATAAGCCGGTAAACGAGCAGACGGATCACCTGATGGTAAGCGATTGGCGTCGCCCATGGACACCTGGAACACCAGAGGCGTTACAAGTGCATTACTGGACTGGGGAGTAGGAGTTTGAGGATCGTTGAGGATTCAGGGATTGGGGAGATTGGGGAAGGGGAGTGTAATTGGGCCTCTGGTAACCTCACTGATACGACGAAACACAACTCAAGCGTTGCTTCACGTCGGTTTTCTGTGAGGCCGTGGTATCATCACTCCGGTCGAAGCATGGCTCTCCCGCACTTAACATAATCCAAAATTAAGAATTCAAATCTTGAATTATTCGGCACACCACGCGAAGTCATTGATTCCGTCTTCAATTCTCATGTTTATGCATCGATATACAAAATGTCGCTTGATAGAAACAGGGCCACTAAATAGCGAGCTAGCATTTAACTCACCAAGTACATAATACTTATACCTATAAACAGTTATTTAGGTAATAAACGCTAAAGGATGTGCATTCGTACCGAGTTAAGGTCGTTTGAGGTTATTTAAGGTGCTTAAAATGGATTATTTTTAGTAATAGAAGATATTTGTATAATTGGAGGTTATGATTAGTAGCCTATGGCTATGCTAGATTTATAATAATCTACGTCCGTGAAAAAAACGTATGAATACAAATACGGGATATGGATTGTTTAAGAGAATTGCTCTATGTAAAATACTGACATTCTTCAAAATTAGTTTAAAGTCAGAGTGGACCACATGTTTTTTTTTTATAAATCGTCGCCCCACACTAGGACTATCTCCTGTGTCGTGGGTGCGTTTACAAACATAGAAGTTTACATACACATGACACCCAGACCCGAAACAACAATTTGTGGATCACACAAAGAGTTGTTCCGTGCGGGAATCGAACCCGCGACACGTTGCACGGCAGCCGGTTGCCCAGCCACCGCACCAACCGTGCAGTCAGATTAGGAAAATGATCAAAAGAAATAGTCAAGTAGGTATTAAATCCTCGACTCAAATTCACGTACTAGCCACCAGCCCATAAGACGGATTAACGGATGCAGGCAGGCTATTGGCCGGTCGATCTGGAAATAATTTATTTGGAGAAACCTATGATTAGCGGTGATGATTAGCGGTGATGTTAATGATGAAATCTTAAATTGATTTCAAGATGATCCGAGGATCGGACGTCAACGGTAATACACTTGACCTAAAACCATCTATCAACACACAATTCTCTGTAAAATATAAATGTCCTATAATTTTAATTAATATGACGTGTCATGGTGGCCCGGAGGTTTAAGACGCCCGCTTCTCATGCATAAGAGTGCGGGTTCGAAACTAACCAATGGCAAGTACCAATGTGACTTTTCCGAGTTATATGTACTTTCTAAGATTATTTAGACACCACTGACAAACGGTGAAGGAAAAACCTTGTGAGGAAACCTGGACTTACAATTTCTAATTATAAGTTTGAAATCGCCAACCCGCATTGAGCAAGCGTGGTGATTAATGCTCAAACCTTCTCCGTGTGAGAAGAGGCTTTGCTCAGCAGTGGGCATTTATAGGCTGTTGATGATGTTGATGGACAGCAAACCAAATTTTCAGTCACTATCCCTATTGTTCATTTTGTATGACAAGATAAAGATCATGATTCTTCTCATTATTAAGTGTTATGATCTTAAACGTCTTGGTTAAAAGCTTTTATAATACAATTATCTTGAAAACTTCCTCGCAATTATGTTCTTTATAAATAACAGTGCGCCATACTATGATAACAGTGTTTAAGCTATTATGGAATATAACCTTTACCTACATGTAAAAAGTGTATTATAGTGGTTGTTGTAAAATGCTATTTATTAAACTATTTGAATTACGTAGCATCAAGGTTTTTCGTCTATAGGAGAAGAGTTTGTAATATAACATAACATAACAGCCTTTTATCCTCGAAGAGGTAGCGAGAGGTGCACATTATACCACTGTACAATGTAACACCCACTTTTCACTATTTATGTTATAAGTCCCATGTAATAGATGGTGAGCCTGTTGCCATATACCGGGCACAGTTCCAGACTCCTTGCTACTACTGAGATTTTTTTTAAAACCCAGTAATACTTTGCCCGTCCGCGAATCGCACCCGAGACCCCTTGCCCGCCGAGTCGCAATTGCGACCAATCGGCCAACAAGGTAGAGCACAAGAGTTTGTAGTGCGTGTATTGTTTGTTTTGTACTTACCTATGTTATATGAGTGCAATAACATACCTACTGTCTCATTTGAGTCATTTCAGGTACTGGAAATTTGAGAATCGAAAACATTCAATCACTCAGTAGACAAATAATTAGCCCCTGTTAAAAAAATATCGTAAAGAAAAGCAAATTATTTTAAAAAGACATAACATCGCGCCTTTTATCACTGGAATGGTACGCATTACAGCACTTAATGTCACTGTACAATGTTATATCCACTCTTCACTATTTATGTTATCCGAGGTGAGCCTGTTGCCATATACCGGGCACAGTTCCAGACTCCGTGCTACTACCGAGAATTTTTAAAAGACCAGTAGTACTTTATTTTAATTTAAAAAAGAAAATCTTACTAATTTCCTTTTTTAAATGTGGGCAATAACTTTAAAATGTTGGAACTTTTGGCAAAAATATTACATAAAGTTGATCTCGAAGCACCCTACCAACACTACCTAAGCTGGCAAGGTTTACGAAACATAGTTTTAAATGCAAGGTCATACCAAAGTATTTGTTCCTGTTAGTACAAAAATATTTAATCAATCAGTGCTCTTATATGTTAAGATTGAAGCAATAAAAAATGAAACCTATATTTTTGGAGCATAAGCCTCAAAATTCTTTAAAGGACTCGTCTAAAAAATATCTACTATGTGTATCAAAACTTAATTTCAAATACTTCTCAAGGTCACTACAGAAGTACGTGTTCCTGTTAGCAAAGAAAATAGTTCACAACTAAAACCCAAAGCCAAATGAAGCTTTAGTTTTAAGAACATAAAGCGCAATTTGTTTTGAAAGGACCCAGTTATATAGTAGATCTATGAATGCAATTCGGAATGTATATCATTCAAGATGCTGAGGAGACTATGCCGAAGTATAAAATGCGGCAGATTCACTTCGTTAACACATTTCACTGGCAACTTCTTTAGAGGACACATCAGCTATGAAATTCGTTAGTACATTATTTGTTTATGTTTAGTAATAATATTAGTGCAAGCCTTTCTAACTCAAGTGTCGGTTAAGTTGAGTGAGTGTTAGTACGTTATCAGTGGTTTCGTAAACTGTGCCTTTCGGGAACTGTGTGTGAAGGGAATGGTTTCAGTTTTTTATTGCATTACCATTTTTTGGTGATATTTTAGCTTCTTTTATTCTAATTTGTTTATGTGTTAATTTTCTCGTTCAATTATTTTTTGGAACTCTTAAGTGCGCTCTGTCAAACTTTTGACTGTAAATTGAAAAATCAATTTGTATTCTAGCAATAACGGTGTTTAGTTTATCACTAAAAATATGTTTGTTTAAATTTTTTATGGCATTTTTTGGGATTTGAAGCTGTTTTTAGATTCAAAGTCAATGTTCAAATTCTAAGCATTTATTTCAATTAAACCATAATTTGGTGGTTTTGAAACGTCAACAAATACAAATTAAATCTGTCTGTCTGTCCGTCAGTTTAACTAGGTGTTCATTCCAAAATATAGGTTCGAATGGAGAAGAACGAGCAAGAAACTCCATTCGTTACCCTTTTAATCAGAATTAATAAACAAATTGGTCAGAATGACAATAATTATTATTCATTATTATTGTCTACCTCTATAGTATTTGAAATTAAAATCGAAGACAAACAAAAACGTCACCGAAATCTGAAAAAATATTATTACCTGGTTGAGTAAACCTTAAAGACTAGTCTTAGACAAAAACTTAGGCACTAACTGAAATAAATTATCACTTCGGTAACTCATGAAAAGTCGTGTTGCGAACAGCGTTACTCTTTTGTAATTTTTTCATCAACTTGTTTGTATTGAAAGACATCGTCTGACTTTTTATTAGTTTACACTCTATTTAGCATCAATTATTCTATATTTTCGTGTATTATATCTAACTTAAATTAGGTCAAATTATTATCAATTCTTCCTTTTGTTATGTCACATTTTATGAGCACGTTTCCATTTCTGTTTTGAACTGCATTTTATTTTACTTTTGTGAATATTTCTTTATTAATTCAACCTACGTATTTATTAAATCTTGAACAGAATGTAAATGTTTAATACATTGACTTATATTCCTAGTTAAAGTTATACTTTTGGTTGTAACTCATTGTAATACCCCCAATAACGTCCAACTTACTAAATATACGTCCCCCAATTTTATATCGAAATATCGAACATAAATCGAATTCGAAATATTATGTCCCCCAACTTTTGATCTTTGGTTTGATCGAATTATCGAACATAGACCGAACTCGAAACTTAGGTTCAGCATCCAAGTATAAGACCACTTAAACCTATTTACTAAAAAGCTTGACATCGTTGTGTAAAAATAATAAATACCAGACAAATCTTACTAAAGATCTGTGTATGACCTTTCTGGGTCAAATGTTTTGACTGGAGTCGTACATAGCAAGTACATTTAATATTATTATAATCATCATGAGTTCACAAGTTAGTGAACATTTACGAGATATTTACATAAGAGATTTTAATCTCGTCTGTTAGAAAAGTTGGACAAATATGTATTTAATTGACAAGGTCAGAAGGTAGCAGTAGTAAGAGTAAATTGAATCATTTGGCAATAGCTCTTCAATTCAAAATGATTCTTATTACGTGTGAGTTCAGTATTAACTTATTAATTTGTAATAGTTCGGATGACAACTTCTAAAATAATAACTGTGAGATTACCTCCTTGGCCGAGTGGTCGCAAGTGCGACTGCCGGGCAAGGGGTCTCGGGTTCGATTTCCGGATCGGGAAAAGTATTACTGTTTTTTTTTATTCTAAGTTGTAGCACGCAGTCTAGAATTGTGTCCGGTATATGGCAATAAGCTCACCCCCTATTACATGGGACTCATAACATAAATAGTGAAAAGTGGGTGTTACATTGTACAGTGACATAATGTGCACCTCTGCCTATCCCTTCGAGGATTAAAGGCGTGATGTTATGTTATGTTATGTTATATTACTTTGCAAGTAAAACAACACAAAGTCAAAACCTTTCGTGATTTCGTTAAAAGGATTGATATTTTAACAATAAGTAAAAACAGAGCCACACCTCTAATTAATAACCACAAACTCAATCAAGTTTTCTTAATCGAGTCCAAACAAGGAAATCGTTATCGAGATTTTTAATTAAAACACTTTTAGTTGTGTAGAAAAGAAGATACAAATAGAGAAAATCAATAAAAATAATTTAGTATCGAAACACGCTAAATTTGTCTTCACTACATAGTATAAAACAAAGTCGCTATCCGCCGTCTGTCTGTCCCTATGTATGCTTAGATCTTTAAAACTACGCAACGGAATTTGATGCGGTTTTTTTACTAGATAGAGTGATTCTTAAGGCAGGTTCATTATGTATAATACATGTATATTGCACCCGTGCGAAGCCGGGGCGGGTAGCTAGTTAGCAATAAATAGGTAAAGACAAAATTAAATTGATTAAACTAAATTGTTAGTAGCTTTATTTTCAAATATATTAAATAACATAACATAACATCACGCGTTTTAACTCCGAAGCGGTAGGCAGAGGTGCACATTATGCCGCTGTACAATGTAACACCCACTTTTCACTATTTATGTTATGAGTCCCATGTAATAGGGGGTGAACCTATTGCCATACACCGGACACAATTCCAGACTCCGTACTAGTACTGTGATTTTTTTGAAAAACCCAGTAGTACTTTGCCCGACCCGGGAATCGAACCCGAGACCCCTTGCCCGGCAGTCGCACTTGCGACCACTCGGCCAATGAGGCAGTCAAATCAAGTTGTTTAACTCGTCGAATACCGGTTTTGCAGACACAATTATAGAACAATAGGTTGCGGTCACCGGTGACCGCTTGGTATTTGACAGTTTAAATTAAATTGTTAGTAGCTTTATTTTTAAATACCTATACTAAATTATTACCTAATTGACTCAATCAAAGCTCTATTCAGGTTAAAGAAGGCGTGATATATACAAACCGCGATATTTCGAAAATGTGACTAGACTCCAAGCTTCCTTATCAAAACTCCTAGACGCAACCGCACAGAACTACTACAATATTGTTGGTGCGAATGTTCATCATGACGGTGACGTTATGACACGCTGACCGCAGACAACAGGAAGGCTGGGTGATTTTCACCAAAAAATTAAGCAATCCCTACAAATTACTGCCTTACTTTGGTTAGAATATGATCGTTTTTGGATTGCAATTGTCGGTTTATAGCTGCTGTATTAGGCTAATTTGCTTTGGTGGATTATTTTTTTTGTGTGTGCTTCTGAATCGTTAGTCGAGGATAGGATTAGAGATTTTAGACACGAAACCTAATGGTAACTGGTCCAGCTAGAGAACCGAAAGCTTGTTTGGCACGTCTTAAAAAATACAGTGGGTAATTCGATCACTGCCTCGTTGACCGAGTGGTCGCAACTGCGACTGGTTCGGGCAATGGTTCCCATTCCCGGATCGTGCAAAGTATCACTGGTTTTTTTTTTAATCTTAGTAATAGCACGGACTCTGGAATTGTGCCTGGTATTTGGCAAACGCTTACCTTCTATTACACGGGACTCATAACATAAATAGTGAAAAGTGGGTGTTACATTGTGCAGTGGCATTAAGTGCCATGATATGCACCTCTGCCTACCGCTTCGGAGTTAAAACGCGTGATGTTATGCTAATTCGATAACAAAATCCTTATCCGTTATCCTCTGCATTCCTCAAGCCCTATTAAAAATTCTAACTAGCTTCCATACTTTTCTATAAGGTTAGGCATACCTGCCTATGATCGTGACCGAAGTGCCTAAGGGTCACATTCGAAACCTTAGCCGTTCCCCCCGACTTCACCTTCACCTCAATCAGCTGGCGTTTACCATAAAACTTAGTTAAGAATATATGCTTCAGATTTTATATGTTAATTTTAAGTGGATCACACTTTTTCATTTAGTAAGCTGAAGATAAAACTGTTATTTAGCAAAACATTTCAAAAACCACTGATAACACACTTTAAAAATTCAAGTATTAAACCACATAATGATTATGTTCATTTCATTTTCACGGTAACTGCGTTACAAATGGTTTTCAAAAGATATCCGAAAGGAATAATTGTTGTGTTCCACAACTTGTTACTTGTCCGTACTTGGTGTGTCAATAAATTTGAATAATTTGTACTCTATCACAGTCAAATCAAGCGTTAAAGACCTCTAAAACATCTACTAACACCTTTTCTCAAATCTCAATTCCAGTTCATTGTACTGGCCTTAGTATCGGCAGCGTCATCAGCTCGCCTCGACAATGTCTTCCTTCCTCCCAACGCGAGATCCTCAAGTGGTGCGAACGCTGGTCTGCAAACTCCTTATGGAGGAGCAGCCTACAGTGGAGGACAGGCATATGGTGGAAACCAGGCCGAGATCTTAAGATACGAAAATGAGATCAACGAGGAAGGATACCATTATGCCTTTGAGACCAGCGATGGTACTAAAGCCGAACAACAAGGTGGGTGCAATTTAGTTTTATTTTCATTTTATTTTCAGCCATGATCGTCCCACTGCAGGGTAAATTCCTTCCTACCCTCCTTGCACTCCTCTATAGGCAGACCTTTTTGCGGCCAATTCTTGTCAAAGATGTCCAATTCGTCCCGCCATCTCCTTTTGGGCCTGCTAGCTATTACTTTTGTTTATTTATGAAACATGAAGCTTCAATAAATGAATAATTAATGTACTTTTTCTGATTAGGTGCGTGTAAATGATGACGACAGAACTTAAGCAATGATCAGAGTATTCGCGTCTCCACTAAGGAGAAGCGAACCAAATGATCCAATAATATTAACTATGAACTTTGTCTTGAAATATGTTCGAAACGAAATTCGAATTATTTAGAATCGATTGCTTTTTATAAAAATCGTTGCCCGACACTAGGACTTTATCCTGTGGGTGCATTTACAAACATACAAGTTCACATACACATGACACCCAGACCCGAAACAACAATTTCTGGATCACACAAAGAGTTGCCCCGTGTGGGAATTAGACCCGCTACACGTTGTACGGCACCCAGTTGCCACCGCGCCAACCGTGCATCCAAGTTAGCTAGACACATAAAAATTAAGCATGAATTACTGTACAATGGAAATTCGAAAGGTTCAAACTCAAAGCGTTAACTCGTAAAATTATTTATAAAATTTATTACAAGTACAGAACTTTTAGAACGAAGGTCAAACAAAGCCTTTAGACTCGATTCCAATAAAACAGAATTAGTTGCACCAATGAAAACCAAGTACATTGGTGATGCAAGGAATCACAATAATGACAAATGTGAAAGTCTATTTGTCGAGATGTTTGGATGTCAATCACGTTGAAACTACTGAACGGATTTTGATAATATTTGGTATACAGGCAGGGTATAGGCTGACTTAGGTGATAGCATTTTTATCCCGATTAAATGGTCCCTCGGATAAAGCAGGATACGCGGGCAAAGTCTAGTAAAACATAAAGATCACACCTTTTACTTCAAAAAGAAGGTAGACAGATAGCCACATCAGAATGTATTACAATTTTTCACTTGTTATATTTAGATCAAAATATATTTAAGTTAGTCCCGCTGGTAGGTTGAGCTTTATGGGTCGATTACACCTAACGAGTACAGCGGCGAGTCAGTGTCCTCGGCCGAGTGCTCGGTTGGTATAAACACTTGAACGAGTGGTCGGCCGAGTACTCGGCCGAGAAGAGAGGCGAGAGAGTCACTAGAATCCCAATTTGTTTACTAGGCCGAGTACCCACCACCCCGCTTCATTCTTCTGCCCCCGCAGCGACTCGCTATCCCGCTCGGTAGGTATAAACACGCACTCGCTTGTCACTCGGCAACTCGCCACTCGTTCGTTATTCGTCATCAAGCAGTGTGCGTGTTTGTGTATTTTTTCAAACAATTTATCAAAATCTCAATTAAAATGACCGCTAATTGAATTAATTCAATTAATTGAATTCTTTGGGATCTTCTAACTGCAATTCATTAAACAGGCTATTTGTTGCTCCAAGGGCATTTCGCCTTAAAATCCATTTTCTGGTCCAAATTCGTTGATATTCCTCTTCTAATAAATCCCACAATTCGTTAATAATATCTGGTAACAGCCGATTTAAAACCCGTCGATCCATTGCAGACGTCGTGATCAAAACTGAACTGACTCGCCACTGGTGTAAATACGTGTAAACACCCACTCGGTTCGGCAACTCTCTCGGCCGAGAGCTTATTTACTGACTCACCACTGTACTCGTTAGGTGTAATCGACCCATTATACACCGGACCCAATTTTATGCACCATGCTACTTATGACGGAAATGTTTTGAAAATCAAATACATTAAAACTTTATGCCTCGTTGACCAAGTGCTCGCAAGTGCGACTACCGAGCAAGGTGCCTCGGCAAAGTATTATTGAGTTTTTAATATAATTCTCACTAGTAGCATGGAGTCTGGAATTGTGCCCGGTATATCGCAATAGGTTCACTCACTATTACATGTGACTCATAACATAAATAGTGAAAAGTGGGTGTTTCATTGTACAGTGGCATTAGGTGCCGTAATGTGCACCTCTACCTACCACTTCGGGGATAAAAGGTGTTATGTTATGTTGTTAAAACTTTATCTTCAAAGTCACTCACCAATGAGTGACCCAAGATTCGTGACCTAGTATTAAAAATTGTACAAAAATCATTCATGAAACGGATCTGGCACTTCGTACTTTGCAATCAGACGCAGCCCTTTTTTTAAGGGGTTTAAATCATCAAATGACTTCTCCCACCTGGGTGAGGCGGGAGGGAGTGTCAGACTCTTACTGACTAAAAACCACCCTGTTCCTACTCCTGCACTTCGAGCCGGAGCCCCAGTAACCCGTTAGGTTCTCCGCGTCTCCGAATCAGCATCAGCTCTATTGGGCCTAGTAGTCTGATGGCTCTTATGGTCCGCGCGGAACGGGATGCGCCGTACGCTCGTGTCAGTCAGACGTAGCCCTAAGGCATTCAAACTCTAACCACAATCACAATAGTTACACATCTCCTCAGTTATATCATGTCTGAGTTAAATGTTAATGACCAACTGTAACTAGCTCTAAAATAACAAATACATTACTTTTGTTACAAATTGACATTTGACATGACAACATAACACACAGTATATTTGTTTTACCCAATCATAAATAAGTATGTATGACGAAATGTATGTGTAACTCGCATTAGTAATATATTTGGTTTGTTGTCTGTTTGTATAACTTGTGTCGCACTTATGTATTCTTTCTTATTGTTATTATCATGTATGTGTGTTCGTAACTATTTTATGAGCTGGTCTGGTCATCCAAACCTAAGTTTCAATTAATTATTTGCCAGAATCTATATTTCCTGAAGGGTATATAGAAACTGGGTGTCTTCGAGGCCAGAGTGAGTTGCTTATAGGACGACGTACTCCATCGTAGACCGCATCATCGCTTACTACCAGGCTAGACCCTATTACTCCCTCCCGAATCTCCCGAATCCCAAACCATCCTCAAATTCCTCATCCCGTAAAGGTCGGTAAAACACTTGTAACGCCTCTGCAGTTTCATGTATCCATAGGTGACGCCGATTGCTTACCATCAATTGATCCGTCTACTCGTTTACCGGCTTATGCCATAAACATTAATGCAATAACATACAACGTTTTTTAATGCAGTATTTATAAAAACATAAAAAAGTTAGCCTCATTAGAGTTGGAAGTTCAAAATCGGGCCAAGTAACTAGCCAAAAGAACTTACTTACAGGTACCTATCATGTCTAATGAACTATGTAAGTTTACATTTTGTATATTACTGGCTCTCCTACACGAGAACCTACCAAGAACAATCTTTACAAGATTTGTGTTGATCCCAGTTCGGCAAAGCGACAAAATCTTTACAGAGAAATAAAAATAACCACTTGTATTACATGGATATGAATATATATAAGATACGTATATTGCATGTATATCTGTTTGTACTGGTTAATCTCTGAAATGGCTGGATCTTTGACGGCACTTTGAGACAAGTCTGACTTCACCACAGCTACTCCTTAACTAAATACTCCAACTGCTGCACAAATAAATAATGACCCCTCCTTTCTAAATTCCAGGTCGTGTATACCCCGGTGCCCAACCCGAGGAAGGTTCCCTAGCTGTCTCAGGATCGTACTCCTACGTTGGTGATGATGGCCAGACCTATACCGTCACCTACATAGCTGATGAGAATGGATACCGCGCTGAAGGAGCTCATCTGCCCACCCCTCCACCCATACCTGCTGAGATCCTGAAGAGTTTGCAATATACTGACAGCACTCAAGGTATGTGGATAACCTCAAATAACCTCAAAAACCGAATTCAAAAAACTATAAACCTAAAAATAACTATCATTAGTACTGATAGGCCACTCACCCACTGATAGGTTAGAAGTCAGCGTCATAAGTTCTATACAAATTTATTTATTAACACTTTATTGATACCTAATTTACAATTTTGTGACCATTAAGTTATATTATTATGATATGATCTTTCAAACAAAACAAGAATTTTGGAAATCGGTTCATAAATGGCAGAGTATTCGACGAACAAACAAAAATAAAAAACAAACAATCAGCCGAACATAGTACCTCCTTCTTTTTTTGAAGTCAGTAATAATAATATTATTTATAGTGAATATAGCACTATTAACATTAACATAGTGCAGTCTCAAGAGTTTTGAATGCACGCTTGATGCATTGGCTGCGCAAATGGCTGTGCAACCTGTCTTGGGTTCGGGAGATCAGGAGACAATTTTATGTTTCCTTCCTAATTCCTCCAATTTTATATTTTATGATTCATACTTAAAATCACTTAACTGCTTACTTTACGAATTTTTCTCTTAAAATAAGCAACTTTTAGACTGATTACGTTTGAGTGCCAAGTTGCATTAAAATAAATGTTAGATTTTGATACAGTAAGTTCTGTTCTTAAAGAAAACACTGCAGTTCGTAGAACAAAATTACTTTTATTTCAACTTCACAGATTAATAGGTAATATAATTTCAAGTGTGACCCACGAGTGCACGGGATTGTGGATGGAATGCGACTGACTGTTTTTGTATAGGGCGGGATTGAAGTACTGAGGCGAGGAATGAAGTGTCAGCACTCTGACGGGGATAAGGGTGTGATATTAATATGTTACAACATGTAGATTCAGTGGTTAGTTACCATAATATTTTACTTGAAAGTTTTCTATGAACACTCGTACTGCGTAAACGGTTTCAAAAAGGCAATAATTGTTATGGTGATATTAAAAAGAGCAATAAATAATTAAGAATACCTTCAATTTGACTTCATTAAAATTTAAGTCTAATAGCAATAAAGAGTCTAATACTTATTTCTCCTTTTTGCAATCTATAACTTAAGTTTTCTAATTAGTTTTATTGTTATTTTAATGAGTATAAAATTAATTTAAATTAAATATCCTTTCACAGGCACATACCAAAGCAGAAAAAGCAGTTACGACGCGGACGCGGGTTACTAAATCTAAGCTTAATTAAAAATTAAATTAAAAAGCCTCTTTAGCAAACTAAAACTAAAAGTAAGCACCTCTAACGACTTTGGTCGTCGGCTGTACACCGCCATAGTACAGTGAGCAACAAAATTATAAGCAATAAGTTATTTTTAGTCTCCGAGCGATGCGATTGGACGATGTGGCCAGTACCTGTGTTTAGTAGTCGTTAAAGTTATTATTTTTATATTAAAAGTTCTTTTGTAAATAGTGTTTGTCTTTGATTTTAGCCTTTTTTAAGTATACAAGGCTCAGCAGTCCCAGCAACGCTCTCCGATAAATCTGAACCTGTAATAAAACATAACATAACATAACATCACGCCTTTTATTCCGTAGGGGTAGGCAGAGGTGCACATTATGCCACTGTACAATATAACACCCACTTTTCACTATTTATGTTACGAGTCCCATGTAATAAATAGTGGGTGAGCCTATTGCCATATACCGGGCACAATTCCAGACTCCGTGCTACTACTGAGTTTTTTTAAAAACCCAGTAATACTTTGCCCGACCCGGGAATCGAACCCGAGAACCCTTGCCCGGCAGTCGCACTTGCGACCACTCGGCCAACGAGGCAGTCCTGTGATCTGAACCTGTGATCTCCGATATGTAATAGGAAACTGTCTTATGTAGAAGACAACAGTACAGCAAATGACTACCATGGGATGAAAACAGTAAAACGCCTACCAAATGAGCTTTAGCAAAACGAGCCGAAGATACTGATAAACGGTATAACGTGCAGGCGTCACTTAACTTACAAAATACACACACGTGTAATTACACGATTACAAGAGCAAAATGAAATAGAAGTGGCCGCTAATGGAACTGTTCGTGAACATCCATGATAAAGCTGTTATTGTTTGCGGTTTTTGAAAGTCTTACTAAAACACAGTATACGGAATCGTGTCTTGGTTTGGCAATAGGTTTATCGGCTGAGACAAAATTGATTAAAAATTGGCAATGTCAATGGGTGCCTACATCCATACATACATACATATACAATCGCACACCTGTCTCCCATGCGGTAGGCAGAGACTATGAACCGCCAATTGCTACGGTTCTTACATACCTCTTTCACTTTATCACCAGTCATAGGTCGTTGCTTGCATGCTCATCGGTTACTTTTAATTTGACACTTGTTTAATATATCGCCAATCTGGTCAGTATAATATGTCCGTCTAGGGCCCTCTCTGCTAACGGCCCCATTCATAACCACTCTGTATACTTCTTGTGTTACTCTACTTTCATCCATCCTTTCTACATGTCCAAACCAGTGTAACATTCCCTTTTCAATCCTTGTCACTACATCATCTTTCAATCTACACTTCTTTAATAACACTATTTTTCACTCGATCACTCAATATTCTCGCGCTCCGGTCTCGGTATTTTAGCTGAGTACAAGCCTTTTTGCACCGTGTACCTAGATTGTTCTGTTTTTTTAAAACTATTCTTTTATTGTTTTTTTTTTGTTTTTTTTTGTAACGGTATATAGGTACTGTGTTTCTTTCTTTCTTCTTTCTTTCATTACTCCATATTTCTTGTTAAAAAATCAGTCTGATAATTCGGAAAATAAGGACATCACATGAAGACTTTACTGTAAGCATTAACTCGTCGAGTACCGGTTTTGCAGACACAATTATAGAACAATAGGTTGCGGTCACCGGTGACCGCTTGGTGTTTGACAGTTTAAAGGAGGTATGTGGGTACCTACCGCAAAAAAAACGGCGCAATTACATTACCATCAATAAATTATAACGTAGAACCCATAGATCAACCGACACTAAATACCTCCATGATTCATGGTATCACCTCAAGGTATAACTGAGCATATGGATAACAGTTATTTTAACTGCGCCGGTTAATAATTCGACACAGTTAATCTTGTAAGTTCTTGTAAGTACTACGCTTAAGGAAGTTAGTGAATGGTTCAAGCGTACAACCTGCGATTGCAATCGTTGGACGATGATTGCATGATTGTTGCTGTCAAATATTAAAAAAGATCTTTAACACTTGTTCACTGTGTATTGACATTGTATTTGTTTTTGTTGATTAACCATAGCTTAAAACTAGTTATAACATCAACTTCTGAGTGGGTTTTATTGATTTATGAATATTTGTAAATTGAAAAGTAACCAATCATTAATCTAAATTGTGTTAGTCACTGTTACATATATGTTTAGTCTGTATTTACATCACTAATTAGTAAGTAGCAGCCCCCTCACTATAATGTGTTATATAAGGTAGGACACTCGTTATTAACGTTGCTGTCTACCCGTAATACTCAGTGTATGTACACGTCATGCGCCCTGCACATTATTGTAATAAATCCAAGTAAAATAAATCCGACCATAATTTCATAATCCACCAACATAACAGTCACGAAAAAGGTTTTATTGGAATAGAAACTAGTATAATTACTGAAATCCATAATCTTCCATGTTTACTTTTACTATTTGCAGCTGATAACATTTGGAGAAAAGAGGTACAGGATCAATAAGTTTTCCTACACTGAAAGAAACTTTAGAGCAACCAACCAGTTGCTTGCAAAATTTAAACGATAACTGCGTACAAATGTAACCCACAAGCCAGTAATTTTGCATTTGTACGGTTCATATATTTTGTTTTAATACTTACTATGACTCCTCACTCAGAGTTACTCATGTACTTATTAGAAAAAATAATTGGTTGTTACGGCATCACACCCCGGCCACCTTAAGCCCGACCAGAAACAGACCCGAGCGTAAGGCACGCCGCGTTTCACGCGCTGCTCACAGAGCCATCAGGCCACCACGGATGGGGCTCAAAAGGGCTTATGCCGATATGATGTCGCCAAGAACATAAAAGGTAACCGGGGCTCCGGCTCCAAGTGCAGGAGTAGGAACTCCCTCCCGCCTCACCCAGGCGGGAGAATTCATTTAATGATTTCCCCCCTTAAAAAAAGATCCTAGAATTATAATTTGTAACCCACATAGAGTATTTTTCCATGCCGTAATCGAACCCGTGACACATTCTATAGAATTCAGTCGCCCAGCCAATGTGTGCCAGCCACTGTGCCAATCGTGCGATCAGTCATTTTCCTCTTAAAACCAATAAGTGTATGTAATTTTGTCATTCCGTGGAATTACTTATGGCTTATAATAAACATAATGACGAATATAAAACCATGAATCCAATATTACCTCATGGGCTACCTAAGTATAGCAAATAAATTCCCAGAATACATTGTTCTCGCATGATTATGTCATTGTTGCGAATTAATTGATTGATGTCGTAAACACGCAAAATGTTATTTTAAAGAATACATCGTATGGTTAGGTATTACATTGTAGGTACATGTGAATTGTACACCTTTTCCCTTAGCAAATATCAGAATTTTCGAATCTATATATCTGTATGTAACTATACATATAAATAACTTTTTTGTGGCTGTTTGTATTTGAATATAGTACATACTTACGATACATACTCTTTTTTAATTTTTTTTGTTGTAGCTAATCTCTGATATGGCAGGATCGATTGTGACATGACGGATTTGATAGCTGATGAACCCACTAAGGAGTAACTAAGGCTACTATTATTTTAGAAAAACGCGGATGAAGTTGCGGGTACAGCTAGCAGCCACAGATTACCGCAAGTTATAATTTGCACATCATCAATCAATCCCGCAGCGGGCGGGATCCAAGACTCAAAGTCAAAGTCAAAGCATTTATTTCAATTAAACCATAGTTTGGTACTTTTGAAACGTCAACAAATACAAAATAAATAATAATCTGTCAGTCAGTCCGTCAGTGAAGCTAGGTGAAGCTAGGTGCTCATTCCAAAACGTAGATTCGAATGGAGAAGAACGAGCAAGAAACTCCATTCGTTACTCTTTTAAAAAAGTATGTTCTACAATGTCTCTGATACATATTTCAATACTGTACGCATATGTAAGAACAATGCAAAGACACGCTTGACGCATTATACTAATAACTTACTAAAATAAAAATAATAAAGATCTTAAGTCTAACATGGTGCTCACATATGCATACTGACAATCCATAGAAGTAGTGCTTCTATATAAGAAAAAGGAAACTCTTTGTTTCAATAAAGAAAGAAATGCTCGATGCCATAAGGAAACTAGATTGTCTACATTAGAATTAAAGTATTAAATTATGTATTATATTACCTACTATTGGAATTTAACTACTGACTACATTTGAGTATTGTCCAGTGGAGCCGAACCAACATGCTGCCAAGCATTCTTATCTTCAAGATAATCTGTCAGTGTGTAGTAAGCTTGTTTACATAATTCGCGCTTAATATATGTTTTAAATTTACTTTCATTGAGATCTAGTATGCTATTTGGTATTTTATTATAGCATTTAATACCTAACCCCATAAAGGATTTCTGTACTTTGGACAGTCTGAATTGCGGTATAGCTAACTTATTTTTGCCTCTAGTATTAAAATTGTTATTCATGTCCCTGGGACGCGTCGCACTTTAGTGTTCCGGTGTTTTCATGGTTGTATCCACTTTAGATCCTGGCTTACAGGAGTTGCAGCAGTTTTGGGCAGGCTTGTCCCATAAATAAAATAAAAAAGGCTCAACCAATCGTAATCATAAAATTGATGTACTTACTTAATGACATTATTCAGAACAATGTAATCCCATCAAAATTTCCATACAATGCTTATTAAGTACATAATGAATATTGATGGCTAAAGGAAGCCAGACCAGTCTGTTTTGGTTCCTGGATAGATTAAATTACGTAAAAAAACTAACTTTTATTCATGATAACACGTTTCCTGGAAGTCTCGCTTTATTTTTGGCCTAATTTAGATTAGCAGGATTATGATTATAGAAGTGCTTTTTGTACCTAAAATCACTACCGATTACATACATACATATTTTATTCATAAAGATGTTAGGTTACATTAAGTGTGGGAGAGCCATGCTTCGGCAAGAATGGGCCGGCTCGACCGGAGTGACACCACGGCCTCATAGAAAACCGATCAATCTCCCCAATCCCCGAATCCCCAACAATCCTCAAACTCCTAATCCCCAAAAGGCCGATAACGCACTTGTAACGCTTTTGGTGTTCCACGTGTCCATGGGCGACGCCGATTGATTATCATCAGGTGATCCGTCTGCTCGTTTACGGCATATGCCATAAAAAAATATATCCTGATCCTTATGACCAACGAAGAGCAAAGGTTGTAACAGTCACT